TTGCCGTCATCTGCCGCCCCTAAAATCCCAAAAATTAGGGGCGGGTTTTTTTTTTTTTTTTTCAAAAAAGATTTTTTTTTCTTAAGTTTAAAAGATCAAATGAAGCTTAGTATGAAGCCTGTCTCTTATACACATCTAGATGTGTATTTTGGCACAGATCTGTGTTACATGGAAATTTCTACTATATTAAATTTTTTTTTTTAAATTGATCGTTTTTCCGTGAAAAAAATGGAAATCGAGCAGTTTTCATGATGTTTCTATAATTTTACAAAGAAAAAAAAAAGAAACTTTTTTCCACCTGCCCCTATATTCAAATTTTTACAATGTGACAGCAAACAAACAAGTTTTTTTTTAGGTCTAATGTACAGCACATAGAGGCCATGTTGGCATGATCACTAGGAATGAAATATCAATACTAATATTATTATTACAGCTGATCCACCTAAACTGTAGACACAAACATTATCAACAATATCATTGGCATCACTAGCTTCATCCTTGTCATTATCAACATCACTGTCATCATCACTATCACGATATTTATCATTGCCACTATGATTATCACCATTGTGAGGATAATTACCAACACTATCATCATAATCTTTATCATCATCTCTATCATTACCACCACCACCAGCAGTATCATATTAATAATCACTATCATCATCAATCACCTTCACTATCACTATTGTCATCATCATCATCACCATCGTCATCATCACCACCACCATCAACATCATCACCGCTGTTGCCATTATCATAACCATTTTACCAGTACCACAATTATCACTATCATCATCCTATAATATATAATAATGTCAGTCGCATAGAACGTTTTATGCCAATAAGGCCTCATTTTGCCCTACATTCACTATCATCACTATCCACTATTATCCTGATTATTATTATCTTCATCAAGATGACAATGATCATCACCATCACCATAACTACTATCCTACTCATTGTAACAGTATGCTTAGCTTGCTTAGAATCCTATTGTGTGTATGAGCACAGCACGAGGTTGGATAAAAAATAACTGCATTTTGGATCTAACCCCTGTCCTCCATAGGCCAATTTCACATTCAATTATGGTTGTTTTAACAGGTGTGTGTAAGATCATCTTCCTGTTCCAATGGAACTAATGGATCAATTAACCATTCACACTGAAAGATGAGGTGACTAGGAATGTGTGCCAGGTACCATTTGGGACTTAAAGCTCTGTTCATGCTATTAAATTTTATGTAACAAAACTGTGATATTCCCATATTTGGATGTAATATGACATCATCATGCCTATATATGGGCATATCACACAAATTTGTCACATACAATTCAGAGCTTAACACAAATTCTCAGCTTCCAAAGTACAGTTAGTTGGAAATTTCCTAAAATAAGACTCACCGACAGGTTCTTATCAACATTTGCACATGTCTGATGAAATACAGAACATTCATGGGAATCATGTATCCCATCCCCTAGGGTATTTGTCACAGGATGGTCATATGGTGTCACATCTCAAAATGTGCTGATTGCACATTGAACATTATGGCATAGGATGTCAGGAAAGGACATAAGTAAAATATTATATCAACACTAATAATGTCTTCTGCTTATTATCACAAGTAAGGTAATGATTGATATGTCACTTATTAAAGTGGTTTTCTTAATTGACTCATCTTTGTACTTTAAGTTTTTCACATATAAGTAATTCAATAAACTTGATTAAAAACATGATATAAGTGTAATGTGAGATGGAGCTATTGAACAGAAAGAGGATGTCTACAAATTATATCTATTTAATATATCATGCACACTCTAAAAAAGACTATCAGAAGCCAATTAATTCCTGATGTTCAAATAAAGATTGAAATATATATGACTATTCTTCTTAGGGTGGCATGCTATTATACTATTTAGCATGGTTCGTATCTAATACATATTAAAGCCTAATATTAGAATGACAAAGTGAGGGGAAGCAAGAGCCAATAATAGGTCTGAACCACAGCCCATCATAATAGGCCTTATTATATTTTATTGGAAGATTAGTACAGTTTTATATTTGTTGTCTTTTTAAGGCGAGACATTATTTATACCTTGTTTAGTGAACCCAGCCGCCCGCCAATAATGATTTATATTTAGACAATTTGCGCACCCACCGTCATGAAAAAAATAAATAAAAGTTTTTCTCTTTCTTTTTTTGCCTTGAAATCTCTAAAAATAAGATATATATATTTCTTTTTAATTATATAAATTTAAAGCATTTAACCATCCCATTACTGCACCAATAACATTTTAATTTTATTTGCTCCTCCATCTGGATATTTTTTGCAAAACTATTTGTTTAATAAGTAAACAAAATTTTATTTTTAAATTTTATTCTGCCCTCTTCTGACGATCTTTAAAAAATAAGTTGGCTATTTAAACAAGGTATAAAATAATCTCGCCTCAAGAGGACCCTGGATATCAGTTGACCTATGGAAGGGTTAAAAATAAATAAAAATTTATAAAATTATATTTTTCTATTTTTATTCAATTGTTAAAGTCATTTTGTCTTATCTCTTCAGATATTGCCAAGTTCAAGCGCGCTAGGCCACGAAAGTAAAAGAGTGTGGTGACATCGCCTCCGCTGGTATGAAGGGCCTCGAATAGGCCTATGAATTTTCTGTTTGCTACTCCGTGATACTACGCTAACTCTGACGAACATTTTGCGTTCTTTGGAATGAATGGAATAATTACTCGGCAAGTAATCATTACAGCAACGTTTGGTAAACATTATAATTGCCTAAAAGTAATATTAAGACAGTTGAATAGATTGCATATACTGTATCCTGAAAATGCGTTTTTATTTCCTTCTAACTCATAGGCCGAATTGCTGTACTATGTTTCTGTCAGCGTCCATCAAGCCGCGGGAAAATGCGGTTATGTTCTTGGCATAGCGCACTCGCACTTGCCAACAACTGAAGAAATAAGACGAAAATAACTTTTTTTTTAAATTGAATAAAAATAGAACAAATACAATTTTGTAGATTTTAATTTTTTTTGTTGATTCCTAATATACACAACTATGACATGTGAATTTCATCCATGTAGCTTTCACATTTTTGGCACAAACAAAAAAATGGTAACCACTATCCTGATTTCCCATGCATTTCTCCTATCGAGGATCTTTTGCCTACGAGGGTAGGGTGCGCCAGAGTTTCAGATAGGCCAATGTAAACATTATAAAGGGTCTATATCCACCTCTTGTAAAAGTGTTTCAAGTGATACTAGTTCCTAAAATGACACAAAACGGATCAACTAAAAGCTACATCAAGCAGCCAGGAGGTTATATTATTAAATCTCAACTCTCAACATTATATCTGTCTATAGATGATCAACATTTGTCAAATAATTCAAATAATAATTTTAACATTGGCTCATGTACACTTACAGAACCCAGTACATCAATTAAGACGAGTCCTAGGTTACCCCGGTGTACTGATTCATTCTGTCCATGTTGTGAACAGACAAGGGTAGCTGGCACCGGTTTACCGGGTAGCTAAGACACGGGGTGACCCTAACGGAAAAAGGGAGTTAGGTCTGCGCCTCGTGCACTAAATAAATCTATGTAATAATAATCTGTTAATTACTTGCAGTGCATTACACAGACTATTGTCCAAGCAAATCCATGTCACATCCATATGGATGTAGATTAAGGAAACAAAAATTATGAATCAGCCAGGATTGAAATTATAAATCAGTCATCTGATATTAATTTGATGAAACGTCAAAATGATTCATAATCTACTATAAATATTTTATATGATTTTACAAATATACATTTAGGAATTAATGCTACAGGAACTTGGTTATGGCATCTGGTATTCATCCGCCAAATTACGCCTTAGTCGGATACAGCATGGCTATTATCAAGCAATCTTTCTAAAATGTAAATTCTCTATTAAAATGTTACGGAGTGTCATGGATCCCCCTTACAGACAGCAAAGACATCTTGACTAAGTATAGATTGGATTCATCATCATCATCATCATCTAGTGGCCTTAACCAAGATCTTCACTAGCTACAAGGGAATAAGTATACTATTTTAATTGTCAGTATGCCAACAGTGAACTTATTCACTTGTGGCAATCACTTTAGGTATAACAAACATAAACACAAGGAGCTCTCTATAAACCAAAGCTTAGTATGAAGCTATGGGAGTAAATTTGTAAACAGGGAAGAGGAAAAAATTCTGTTCCCACGACAGGACCCTGAGATTGGAAGACAAAAATATTAAGCACAGGCTCCACTAATAATGTTAATTTAGGAACAAGTTTTTTATGAGAAGCTTATAAAAGACATTTTTGTGGCATTAGGATATCGTGGGTGTCAGTTTCCACTTCCTAGTCACCAGTAAACTACCTAAAAATACATTCAAATAAACATTTGGCTGATGTAAACCAACAGGTTTGGATATTTGTACAACATTGAAGGTTAGAAGTTCATAAAATTAAAATCAAGCACATTATTGACGGTCCCTTCAAATTCTTTCCATCTTTTTTGTATTTACTTTTTCTATCTCCAATGAAGAGTATAAGTGGGTACCTGGCAAGTTTAGAATACGAAATACGCCGATTTTCTGCTGCAACGTTACTCCTATGTGTTTAAAGTCTAATTCCTGACAAAATTTCACTGAGAAAAGATTTTTTTTAGAAAAAATGCATGTATTACTCTAATTATTATAAGTCATGGAAAAATATTGCCATAAATTTTAGTTTTTATGCAAAAGAATAACAAAACTTTGAAATAGAGACTATTTCTCTTAGGAGATTTTCTCGACGACTTCTATGTTACTAGGCAAATTCAGAGGTTGTAGATCGTATCCAGTTTTGTGTATATTTTATACAGTCAATAAATTGCAGCCTCTCTAGTTTTATACTTCGCATCTCGCACACTGCAGTCGATCTATTAGTGTCATTTTTTTATTGTTTTTGAGACCAAATATTTAAAGTGATACTTACTGACATGTTGTGCATTGTGGGAACAATGATGTGATCAGTAGAGGAAGGATCTGACAAGGAAGCAGATGAATGGCTAGATGGACTTTGGATGAAGAAGGCGTTAGTAGATGTCAACGTCATAGATGATGGTATAACTTCATAAGTGTGGTAGGTTGGAGAAGTTAGATCATCGTCTCCTGTCGTTATTGTTGGTGGATCCGAGTTTGTGTCTGAAAAACAATTGTAACCATTAGTGGGTGAGCCTGTAATCTTAACATTTAATTATTTTTTTAAATAATTTTTTTCGTTATAAAAGACATAATATTAATAACAAATTACCAACTTCCTAATATCTCATAAATAATCATCAGTATAGAAACAGCAAAATTAAAATTGAGTTACAGTATTTATTATTCATGGTATACATTAATGGACATAAAAGCAGTAAAACACAAAAACTATAACTATAAAACGGAAAAAAATGTTGTCTGCAGTGAACTGACTTACAGATAGTGTGTATTCAGCTATAAATGGTAGTGAAACTATTGAAGTTAAATGCATTAAAAAATATATTATATAAGATGTGTACAGAATATGTGTAGTTTTTAGTTTAAGAGGAAATAACAATAAAAATATTTTTATTTAATCGCTCGAAATCAAGGACATATCATTGATACTCTTGGTTCTTCCAGGAAGTGTACATGGACAGTTCATCCCAGACATGCGAAATTTTGGGTTAAATCAAGGTGAATACAAAATCTGTTAATTGAATTTATACGTTTAAAATTCAATGTCAACATCATTTCCATTTTTTTGGGCAGATGAAACCTTTTAGTGATAGGAACTTATTCCATCTTTTGACTCCATCCTCTGTATGTTTTGTTGTTTAACTGGAAGAAATTTATTATTATAAAAGCCAAAACACTTGTTTCTATGTATATTAAACAATACATGATGTTCCTTTTACTGGTTTGGGGTTCCGAGTGTCTAGTCCAAATGGCGACTCTTTGATTACTATATCAAGTATGACAACTCAACACTGAGTGAATGACTGAAAGAGGGCGGTCTTTACATCTGGTAATAATGATCAACAAATTAGACTCATCCTGCAGGTACAGTTTTAGCTATTTTAATAAAATATTTTCAGCCTTATATTTTTTTTTTAGTGTGGATAAATTTATATAACAATTTATCAATGTGAAATATTTTTGACATTATTATTATAACTTTAGTCAAACTATATTTCTGGTACTGTATTAAAGTCATGATAAAATTAAGGTAAAAATGTGTTTCTTATAATAACATAAATAACAATTGTTCTTTTTAAAGTAATATTACACTATTCTTAACATAATATTAATGTCAAAAATCCATAAAACATGGAAATATTAAATTGATTTGATTATAACTACACATCATTGCCAATGTCTTCAAAACACTTTATTCAAACATTATCAAACATCCAATCACCAACTTGACCTTCCTTGCTCTCAATTTGATGCTTCCAATTTTACCCGGATTGGCAAATGTACAACATTAATTTGTTGAAGCTGCCAAATCAACGATACTCAGATGGAGATCAAACAGAAATATAAAATAAATCTTATCTTTGTAATAGATGTCTTGTTTGCATTTAATTTTTTATGTTTAAAAAAAGATTTTAAAAAGAAAAATCAAATGTAGAAATTTTCTAAAATTGAAGCAATATTTGAATTTCACAAAATTCAAATGATTGATACAGTTAGTGCAGTTGAAATAATTCCAAATTCCTTCAAGAAAGTATGGCTACAGTCACACTAGAGTCTCAAGCCTGGCTTGACTTACCGCAGGTGAGATTTCAAGGCAGGCTCGAAATTCTGGGTCGGTCACACTACCTGAATTTAGTTGGATTGACCTCCAAATTACAAAAGTCGAAACGGGAAGTTAGAGCGCCGCCACAATCAAAATACCGGCCCTGCGCGCAAATCTAGATGATCTAGGCTTTGGCCTAGGCTCGGATGTAATGGCGATGCTAGTTTTCGGATTGATAAGTGCATTTATAAATGACAACTGATGATTGCATCTTACTTTAATACACATATGAAAAACTCGCAGGTTTTTTATTCAAGAACTTCTTAACGCAACGGCGTCATCGACTGTGATTGGTCGACAGCCGACGAGGAAATGTTAATTTCAGGGTGCTGAGCCGGGATCGAGATAGGTAGATTGAGATCGAGGTCACGCAAGGCGCGAGTTGATCCGGGTGCGGTCACATTACGAAAATCTCACCCGCGGTGAGTTAAGCCAGGCTTGGGACTCTAGTGTGACCGTAGCCTATAGTTCAAAATGATTAACAAAGACTTGAGAAGAGCAGCAAAACCACTTAGCTATATATAAGGGAATAGTTTATATGATTGATTGATTGATTGATTAACTGATTGAGTTCCAAGTTCCAAAATCACTAGGAACTTCATAAAAGGCTATAATCAGTATTCTATTTGTATACAAAGCAACAAAGACAGTAGCACTGTCCATGTTCAGATAGGCAAACATGCAGAATTATATAAACTGCATATTTGTTTTATAGTTCTACAAAGATACAAGTGCTAATTGCTTGCTTGATATTCTCATCTGTCTCTCACACCAAAATTGGATATTCTCAGTGAACCTTGCCTACAAAGTGGTCCTATCATGTTGCACTAATAAGAAAATCAAATAGAAATATCAAGACATCCAGATGAAATATTGGTTTTCACTGCTTTCTAACAGACAGCCCCCACTGTGGACAGATGAGAGTAGTTGGTACTGGTTTAAAGGGTAGCTCCAATGCAAGTGACCCCTATGGGAAAAGTTAGTTACTGTACAAGCTGGTCCATGCCTCAACAAGTACGATGATCCTCACATCAGAGAGGCCTGTACTCACCGGAAGATAGAGAAGATAAATAGATAGCGTATGTAGAGACTACTGTAAACACACTACCAAAGGAAAGTAACTCAATTGGACCTAAGAACTTTGGGGTGGGCCAATAGGAACCAACACCTCAAGTGAACTCAGTTTCAAGTAGATTTACAGTCTCAAGGGTAGAACTTTTTTTGTTAGGTAAAATTGCAGTTTCAGAGGAAATTGTTCACAACATTTTAACCCTCTTTGTTAGAAAAAACTGAAGTTGACCCCAACTAAGATGCAATTATTTCAGGATACTTACTAAGCATGTTTTGAAATTATTTAAAGGAAATTAAAATTATACTTGTAACTTTCATGATAATTGAAAATTAGTTGAATAAAAGTGTGGAAAATGAAAAAAAAAGTATCCTGTAATAAATGGTTGTATATTAAAATCAGGACAAATTGCCTATTTATAGAATTATTTTTTCATTTATTTTTTGTTATTTGGTATTTATATAATGCCTTTTAGTGGTCATTGGGTCTACATTCTTACTGCCATACTTGGTAAGGTAGCAGGCAATCCCACCAGTTACCCATTTATACTCCTCGGTGGAGAGAAGTGACACAGATAAAGTGGTCTGCTCAAGGAAACCAGCAAAATGCACAGTGAGGGGTTGAAACCCTGACCTCAAGGTACGGAATCCAAACCATTCCCACTGTGCCAAATAGCTTCCGTAAAATGAAAAAAAAATTAGTCAAGTCCATAGGTAGAGCTTAACTTTTACCTTCTCTTAGTATTGTCTTATATTGTACAAGCATCAAAAGTATTCAACTCTGGCAGGAAGTACCACCCTTTCAAAATGTTGTTGAAATTCATTTAAAAAAAATGCTGAGCATGTTAATGATGAAACTGACAAGACATGACAAGGATGTTGAAGATGAAAATAATGTTGATGAGAGTGGTAATGATGGAGAAAATGATGATGATATAGTTGATGATGAGCATAAAGAGAATTTTGACAATTGAAATGATGGTGATAAAATTATGATGTTGATGATAATACCTTTGGTGATTGCAAATCATAATTAACATGATGTTGTTTATGCTGACGTTGACAATGCAGAATAACATGGTAATTAAATTGATGGTGATGATAATGGTATTAATGATGCTACTTTAATGATTATAATAATAAAGAATAATGAGTTACATTTATATAGCGCATATTGCACAGTGCCTCTATGCGCTTTACATAAAATTATAGAAATTACAGAAAAGATGTTGAATTTACAATACAATAGGGTGTGGTGGCTAAACAACACTAGGTCTCAAAGGGTCAACTATCCGCCTCTGCCCTAGCGCAGTCCCGGTCCCCTACCCAGGTGGCGCGAACAAAGGAGCAGGTTTCACATTTGCCCTGCCACAGGCGACCGGGTGCTCAGGGTCTGCGACTAAGATAGCGGCCCCAAGAGACAAAGCAGGCCACTCCGTTGTGAAGGAGCACGATATAAATTATTAAACAGTTATGTGGATTATTATGATGATTATGATTATGATGACAATGATGATATGACAATATGCTGATAATGATAATGATGATGATAAAGATGATGATATTAATGTTGATGTGATGTTGAAATTGATATTGATGAAGACGATGATAACTTTCAGCAATTTCTCTTATATCTTTAAAAGACTAATTTTAAATGTCGACATTAATCTCTTATTAAATTTTATAAAATTTTTGAAACTCCTCAAGATATGTTCACACATTTATCTTCACTTCATGAACACATGTGCAGTATAGTCTCATATAGAGTAATAATCACATTTTGAGTTAGGGTAGGGATCAAGCAAACCAAGTCTGTCTGATAAAACCCCAAAACTCAAGGGGATGGTATCTTAAACTGGATCTCCCAATTTTAGCAAAGGTGATTTAAAATCTGGGTCAGGAATGGTTTTATTCAAATCACTTCTTGGTCATGTTTGGATAACATCCTTCATCTACTCAAGAATATTCCTCAACTTATGATACCATCGGCCTAAAGGAAAACCAGTATGTCATCAATGTGGAGTGGCGGTTAAGATGCTGGCCTTCCATCCCTGGGGTCCTGGATTCAAAATCCTGGGAGACCGGTTTTCTTTTCCCACAATTATTAACAGCTCTTCTCTTGAAGAGACCGTTTAAAAACATCATTCCATCCTGCCATTACCAAGTGTACTTGATGTGGGATGTGAAAGAGACAAGACGTATTACAGCTGAAGAATATTTATGTGTTGGTGGACAAAATGTGGTGAAAGAATATTTCAAAATGGAATTAAGTGGCTACGAATGATGTCAACTGAGTCATGAATGTAGGTCA